ATTTCAGCAACCCTATTTCTGACAAAGGGTTGTAGCTTGCTAGGTAACACCTTTAACCATCCTAACACGATGGACGAATCTGTCCAAAAGAAAGTGCGCTTAGCCTGTTGTCTCAGCGATGCTACAACCTTTTGGTAAAGGCGAGCTCCAACAAGTGCACCACAAAGTTCCAGTCTTGGGATTGTTATAGGTTTAAGCGGCGCGACACGACTTTTCGCCATCAATAATTGAATTAAAACCTCACCCTGATCATTAACACTACGCACATATAAACAGGCGCCATATGCTCGCTCAGAAGCGTCCGAGAAAATATGAAATTCAAACAAACTAGGCGAGTCACAAATAACACGACGTGGAATACGTAGAGTATTTAATTTAGGTAAATCGACTATTATCTCAGCCCACATCTTGCTGATTTCTGGCGTCAACTGCTCATCCCATGACAGCTTGAGCAGCCACAACTGTTGAAGAAGCATTTTCATCTTAATTACACAGGGAGATAGAAGTCCTAGTGGATCAAAAATCTGAGAAATTACAGATAACATATCACGCTTTGTTCTACCTGAGAATAGCCCTCCTATAGGGAAACAAAGTTGGTCAGTATGTGATTGCCAACCAAGGCCTAAAGTTTTAGTCGGTTCAAAGCCACCAATATTCAAATCAAGCGGAGAAATATCATTTTCACTAACCAGTTGAGATTCATTCGACTTCCACTTTCGCAAAACCATATGAGCTGATGCAAGTGTGGAAGTCACTTTACGGCGCAAATCTGTAACCTCGTTAATATCATCCCCTCCCGTTAGCAAGTCATCAACGTAAAAATCGTGAATGATCACTTGAGCAACCTTGTCATCGGTACACTCTAAGCCTAATTGTTGGAGGCACCTAGTTGCCAAAAAGGGAGCACTAGAGGTGCCGTAAGTCACGGTGTTAAGTTGATAAGCTTGAAGCTGTTCTGAAGGGTTATCACGCCAGACAATTTGTTGCAAATAGCGGTCATCGGGATGAATGACTATTTGCCGGTACATTTTCTCAACATCAGCTGTGGGAACGTATTTGTGTAGCCGAAAGCGTAAAAGAATGGACAAAAGGTCGTCCTGTACCACGGGACCTACCATCTGTATATTATTCAAGGAAACACCCGAAGAAGTCGGACTGCTAGCATTGAAAACGACTCTTAATTTAGTAGTAGTACTACTTTCCCGCAGCACACCGTGATGTGGTATAAAATGCATCTTACGTGGTAAATTATCATTCTCACATTTCTCCATATGACCCAGACTTTCATACTCTGACATAAATTCTTTATACATTTCATAGACCTGAGATTGACCTGCTAACCTGCGCTCTAGCGATAGTAAACACTTTTTAGCTCGTGACGAAGAATCACCTAATACGTCAGGATTATGTTTTAAGGGTATCCTCACGCAAAATCGACCATTTGCCAGTCGCGTGGTGTTTTTTAAAAAGTGTTCTTCGCATAATTTTTCTTCGTTTGAATAAAGAGACGCAGGGCTTACCTCTTCGAGGTGCCAGAAGCGTACTAATTGTTTTTGTATATCTTCATCTAAATCTTTACTAGCCTCATCTTGAAATATTCTTGTAAAATTACATTTAATAAAGTTAACCCCTTTCTTTACATATCTATAATCTATCGGACCTGATACTAACCATCCTAAGCTAGTTTCACAAAGAATCGGCTGACCGTCCCCTAATTTTAATCTCTGCGTTCCTATTAAGTCCCAAAAGACATCAGCACCTATAAGCATGTCAACGGGAGCAGGTGAGTGAAAATTAGGATCTGCCAGAGAAATATTAGATGGAATTTTTAAGTTTGACAAATTAACATATCTAGTAGGTACATTTTGGGTTATTGATGGTAGGACAAAACAATGAAGATTACTAGAGAAGTTATCATTCAATGATTTTATCGATACCTTACAAATCTTCTTGATGTGTGCCGAAGCATTATTAATACCGACTACCGACTGATTTACATTTTGAGCGGGCAAACCTAGCCTTTGATATAACTCTTCAGTTATTAAACAAGCGTTACTGCCACTATCAAGAATAGCACGAGCAATATATGGACAACCATTCTTACCTATAACCTTAATTAATGCCGTCGATAACAATACGTCGCCTTGTTCACTACACGATGCAGTGCCTACCTTTGCGGATAATGACAGATGTGCGTTAGAATTGGATGACAACTGTGAGCCTGTCGAACTGTTTGTTTGTTCGAAATGACCCTGCATAACGGGCTTATTATTACCACTACTCGTGTTAGATGTATTAATATCTGTAATTGGTTTTGACTGGTAATCTGCGACGTGCACGAGAGTGTTATGCTTTCGGTGGCATATTTTGCATCCTGGCTTTTTGCAGTGATTTGCATAATGTCCTGAATTAAGACAATTGAAACATACTTTATACTCTGGCAGTAACTGTAGACGCACATCGTTACTTAATCCAAGAAACTGAGGACAACTGCTTAACTTATGGTCACCCTTACATTTAGGACACAGTTTGGCGGAAAAGGCCGAACCGTTTTTATTACCGGTATCCCGCACTGAAACCATTGCCTTAACTTTTGGAGCATATTTTATAGAAGAATTTAAACGGTTAGTAGCACCAGAATTAGACATTTCTAGTGTTTCGATTAAATCGGCTCGATTTTTTAAAAACATCAAAAATATATCGAACGTAATAGGTGTATCTTTCTCCAAACGACCTTTAGACTCTTCCCATTCACGATATGTCTTAGCATCTAATTTTTGAGTAATAATATGAATGAGAAGTGTGTCCCATTGTTTAGTTGGCTCACCGAGAGATTCTAGTGCACGTAAATTTTTATTTATTTGGTCAATAAGACGTTTTAAGTTGACAGACAATTCTTTATTAATTGGTGCTATATTAAATAAGGCTGTCACGTGATTTTGAATTAGTAGTCTTTTATTATCATATCTATCACATAATATAGTCCATGCGACGGTGTAATTAGCTGCCGAGAATTCGATTGACTGTATTACCACAGCAGCGGGCCCTTCCAACGACGCTCTCAGATAGTGAAACTTATTTATGTCATCTATCTCGTCATTTGAATGTATGAGGCTCATGAACGTGTCATGAAACTCTAACCAATTATCATAAGAACCATTAAATTTAGGTAGTTGAATAGTGGGCAGTTTAACAAATTTATGATTGCCGGAATGAGAGCCACCGTCACTGCTTACGTCATCTGACTTAATGCAATCTGCTAAGATCCTTTTTGCAAGAGAAAGCGATTTAAAATACAGGGATTCAAAATCAGTTCGTTCTGATATCTGGGCGTCTATATTATCAGTATTACACTCGATGGATAATTGTACCTCATCATATCGTTCATACATTGACTCAATCCTACTAATACGTAATTGCAACTCATTTACCTCAGTAGCAGCCAATGAAGATACCTTCAGTGAATTTAAATAATTTGAAAAAGCAGTTATTTGTCCCTTGTAACTAGCTCGTTTCCTAATTTGCTCCTTATCTTCTGGCATGTTGGCTGGTATTGGGAGACTAGTGCAAATGCCTGAAATTTATACAAACAAGAAGTTTATATTTTATAAAATATAATTCATAAGTAGTTTTATACAATTTTGCTTACAGTTGTAAAGAAATGAAAACTAATTCCCTTACTTATTTTTCAAACTCTTAAATAATTAAACAAAATGGTACATGTACTACCTTGATATTTAACTTTATAATTAACAACAATTAAGGGTAACAAATACAATTCAGACCATCAAACAGCTTCACAGGTATGCCTTAGTATGTAATAAATAATATTATGCAATTTTTTCAATTATACACTCTCTTGACTTATTTTTTAAAAAACAGTTTAAACCAATAAAGAGAAAAAAAAATTATAATATCGTCAATATAATTTAACTAAGCTTTATAATTTAATTTAATCATGATTTGACGGTTATTAGAAACTATATAAAACAATATTAAATGAATTTTAGCCGATTAAATACTTTAAGTTATACGTAATTATTTTATGGGTAATTTGGTACTAACCTGATAAATTAGCAGTCGATTTACACAAAATACTACCTGATAATGAGTGCTGGGTTAAATAAATTAAATAATAGTCCAATATCTAAGGGGCTAATGCCCACTTTCACCAACGACCCGTAAGATTTATGGGACCCCTTAGCATATTTAGCGGCCAGTTAGGGGATAGTTTCCGTTTCACCACTTTTAAAGGGTCCGTTACTGACTAAACGATCCCCTAAATTTATGAGATGGATTATTGGTCCCATAAACCTTCACATAAGTAAAAGCGACTTTTAGAGGACAAGATGGACCGTGATCTATTTGATTTTCTTGATAATTTAGACACAACTGATACTATATTTGATATAAATCGTAGTCGAAGACCTAAAATATATCGAAAACGACCAAATTATTTCAACGATTTCGATGAAATAGATTTTTTCCGAAGATATAGGTTATCTAAATCAACAGTGATATATTTGTTGGAAAAAATTGAACATATTTTGGAATTTCCTGATAATAGGTGAGTACCTAACTATTTACATATGTTATCAATTTCAATGTATGTACAATAGTCTATAATGTTATTAAAACTGTAGTTTATTAAATATTTAAGTTAAAGTGTGGGTTCCTGGGTTCCTACATTTTCACTTATTACCTATTATACCTAGCTACGAAATAAAGGTAAAAGCATAAAAGGTTACTTTATTGCTCTCCTAACAGTAACTTTTGAATAGAAAATGAGCCTGTATAGGTAGGCCGTAGGTACCTGTTTGGTGCTAACCTACCTACCATGGTAAATTGATACCCGAGGTATATCTTACTTATGTTTCTACCTATTTTAATTTGTAGTTGTTTATATTTTTTACAGGAACAATTCCATACCACCCATAAATCAATTATTAATAGCTTTAAGATATTATGCCACAGGCAATCACTTGCTTGCTGTGGCTGATATGGGTGGTACTAGTTTGGCTACATCCAGCCGGATAGTAAAGAGAGTGTCTCAAGCAATTGTTTCCCTACGTCGAGAATTCATTATATTTCCTGATACAAACAGAGACCAAGACAGAGTTAAGATAGACTTCTATGATATAGCTAGATTCCCTAATGTACTAGGCTGTATTGATTGCACACATGTAAAAATTCAGTCACCAGGTAAATTCCTCATTTTTATTTAACTACCTTTCACTAAAAGTTCATTTCTCTTAGTAGTCTATCAAGCAATGCTGATGAAGTATTATTTATATCTATAGGTGGAGATGATGCTGAACTATTTAGAAACAGGAAAGGCTACATGTCCATAAATGTCCAAACAATTGCATCAGCAAAGTTGTTGACAAGCAAGACTCCAGATTTCTTGGTTAAATATCTTCACTCCCTCGGTGGTATTTCCACAACGAATATTTAAGACTTCCCAAGCGTATTCCACTAAATAATATCTTGTCCAATTACGTTTTTTCAAATCCGGCTTCGATTTAGGACCATGAATAGGAATTTGATCTCTTTTTAATAATAAAATGCAGTAATTTGCTCAATCGACCTTTACTTGATCTCTAAATTTACAACGACGACAGGTACAACATTTTTTAAACATACCTACACAGCTTACGGACTAATATTGGCATGAGAACTGCTAATATAATTTGACAGGCGCTTCAACAGAATGTGATGATGACAATGGGCTCTACTGGGCACAGATCGTAGAGGGTTTTGGGAGAGAAAAAAGTTCGTTGCGCTGATCCCAACGCGGAATGGCCGTCTTTAATGAATATATAAAAATATTTTTGGAAATATTTTTTAACTTCTTAGATGTACAGGTTTCCTCGCATGTTTTCCTTCGCCACCGAGAACGCGGTAAATCGACGTGGTGTCGACGTGGATCGTAATCGGGTAGCTTACGTAGTATGAAATTTATGTTTGGATCGGTTTGATTACCGGCTTTGACAAGTGTCTTTCAAAATTTTATCAGTGCAGTTCATATACTCATGAGAGCTTAATAACTTATAGCTTAAGACTTTTGTTATTAAACCAGGTATGTTACAAAAATCTTAATATGCCTGAAGATATGAAAACGATGTTCATAAGTTACAAACTGTTTTATAAGTGTCTATAAAGTAAAAAAAAAAGTTAAGTAGTACGACTTGCACAGGGCTCCACATTACCTATAGTGTTTTTTGGGCAGGAAAGTGTCCATCGCAATATTCCAATTCTCAGACATCTAGGTTTCCCCACCAAGTAATTCTTCACCGTTTTACCACCGAACACGCGGTAAATCAGCATATCAAATTTCCTTTAACAGTTTCATTGGTCCTTGCAGAGGACCGTACACGTTTTGTTCCTGTGCCATGAACACCGAGCTACAGGGCTCTCGTGTTTAAAAAAAATCATAATATCTGAAAAAAATTTGGACCACATATACCTAGCAATTAGTAATCCAACCATGCCACAAACTATGCCATCAAACAGAGATGAAACCTCTTAATTTTTAATTACTTACATACATCCGATAACTTGATGATGAAATTGGTGATATTATTGCTATCTAGTATATTCAGTATTCACTGAGGTGCGGCTGGGGTGGCCCAATAAAGCCGCGATTATTTACATTATATACAAACAACACAAAGTGATTTGGATTCTTTTAAAAATCTCATTTGTTTAAAAATACGCTATCAGCAGCGCTAGCGGGGAATAATGAAACTATTTTACAATATGACCATATCATGATATGATAATGAGATATTTGCAATAATCGTAGGCAGAACGGCTTAAATCAGTTTATTTATAGATTAGTAATTGAACTGAAAACCATCTCAGCTTATATATTTTTGATAGATGTCACTTTTTGATTGACGACCCTGTGACGCAGTGGTCTAAAGGTCGCGGGTTCGAATCACGCACGGAACAAGTATTTGTACGGCCTACAAATAATTGTTCCGGGTCTGGATGTTTGTTCTTGTAAATCTATTCTTGTAATTCTGGATGTTTGTATGAAAACTACCTTCACGATACAGGAAAAAGTCCTAGTGTGGAGATACCGTTTAAAAAAAAAACAAAAACAATAAACAAAACTATTGTCTAATTAAATTATTACACTATTAAAATGAAATAACGACAAAACCAAAATCAAAGTTATAATTTTCAAATAATTTTATAAACATGATCTAAATGATCATGTTTATAAAATTAATTATTATAGTTTATATAATAAAACAAATTAATTATTAATATAATTTAACAGTTGTTCCCCGCGACTTCACCCGCGTGGAATTTATTACAATTGGATTTTATAGGTTTTTTTTTTGCGTGGAACACTAATTCTTTTTCTAAAATAAAAACAGCCTATAAAATCAGTAAAAAGCTGTTATTTTGAAATTACAAACAGACACTTCAATTTTATTTATTTGTATAGATTTATCAGTAACTGAAGAGAAAATAATATACTAATTTTTGCATTTTATGATAGATGGCGTGACGTCTCAAATTATTACATAACGGTTAAAAATAATAATAAATATGTTATAATTATGGTATTTATTTGAAAAAATACCATCCCCATATATCTGACAGGATCATTTAAAATAGAAAATTAAAATCGAAAGCAAGGAAAATATTTAATCCTGTTTTTTTGAAGTTGCACTATCGGATAAATCGGTAAAAATTTGCCCCGGGGTGCTAAATACCAACATAAATTTCCGGAATCCGTCTAGTAATTTTTAGGTGAATCGTGTATACACACACGGACATACATACAGACGGACAAAATTCCACGGACCAAGAATCACTAATTTGGCTTTAGTATCCTTTATTTAGTACCCTGGACTTCTTTTTTCAAGGGAATATTAGAATTACAGACACGAATTTCCGACAGATTTATTACGTGTTTAAATTAAATTTGTCAAGATAAATAATAATAGAAATGTCTTCAAACCATTATTTATAAACATTAAGGTAGGTTATATTTGTGTGTTCCTAAATTTTATTTCCAGGAATTAATATAGCTTTTAACACGCATTTATTCCAAGAACTTCATTTAACTGCACAGAATTTTACATGAGATTGTGTCTTCTGTTTTTATAAGAGATCGGTTTCTTAAGAAAAATTTAAGTATATCTTTAATTGTAATAAATAGTTAAACTGCGTCAAATACTTTTAATTAGATAATAAAGTTTGCATTCGTTTTTAATAAAAATATTATATATTTTCTTGTGTTCATTTTGAAACATAATGTAATTTTTAAAATCGTTTGACCAAAAAAAAACATGCGTCAGTGTCATGTAACACTCGGTTGGAACGAAGTTCTTTTCGTAGTATATTATTATTAAAAAACGAAGTATATTATTGATTAACAAATACAAATAAATGAATTACTTGCGTCTATTAAAATGAAGCATCATTTAAAATAACATTTCTTTAAAGGGGGTCGTGACGCAAAAATCCTACAATTTTTTTCTCCTAACCCCCATCCGTCAATTCGTACCGTGCGATAAGGAACTTCATTCCAATAAAATAGACAAAACGCGTACGACTAATCAGTAACACTAGAAATTATTTACCAGTCCGAGCTTACATCTATAGTCATTTACAGTGGAGTAAGTTTAAATTTATTAATAATGAAACTATAATCGCTTTACTAAATCTATTCAGCACAAAAAATTGCCGCCCAATACAACTTGGTTGTGCACACAACATAAGCACTTTCGCGTCACATTTTCAAGAGTATTCTTCGAAACTCATTATAATTTCAATTAGCAGTGGGACCATTCTGTGTTATTTATTATATATGTTATGTCAAGTTTCCAAGTAGGCCTATTTCTACGTAACTTCAATGAATAGCCGTACTGTTACACAATGAGTAAATTAGGTCACGCGCAAATTTAATATTAACGGAGTTCTTCAATGTTACTGTGACTGTGAACTTGTATATTACGTAAAGTTTGTTTTGATTTAATTACATCTCGAATGAATATGACAGGATTAATTTTTTTACTAAATTTGAAAGTGAAATTAAGATCACGCATGAGTTCTATATACGCAGTCTGCTGCTTTAATAAAATATTAAGTAAACTTACGTGACAAAGCTAATAAATATTGATCTATCCAAAGAATTTTTCTAGTTGAATTGTTTTAAATATTCTTACTTTGAAGTTTTTCTACAATTATAAAGAAAGTTTATTAAATATTTAAATTATTCATAATAATGCGTCTTACCGTGGATATCGTAAACAGTGACAGAGTAAAACAATCTAGGAGATTTAAAATGAAAAAATAAAAAAATGCGGTTGCCAACCAGCCAGCCGAGCGTGGCAACTATGGAAAAACCGTTATTATATGGCAATTTTTTGTAAACTTTAATAGGATACAATTGATGAATAAAGTATTTTACTTAAATAATCATAGAGAATTACAGAAGTTAAGTTACAAAATACTACTAAGCTATTGCATAAGTTTTGTTTAAAAAGTAAATAATGAATTTTACATTTGTAATTATTAATTTAAAAGCGCTAGTGTGGAATGCTACTTGTGTAGACACTCTGGTGACCTCTTATCTCAGGGCTACCTCGTTTAGAGCCGGGGCGGCACAGAGGCAGCTGAACTAAGTAGCGCAAATATGAATCTCTGAGAGATGACTGCATATTTGTACCATTTGCTGTAGAGACTATCGGTCCATGGGGTCCACGTGCGATGAAGTTCCTAAATGACCTCCATCCGCTGCCCTGGTGATAAGAGGGCTGGCTCTTTTCTCGCTCAAAGGCAAAGTATAGCCATTCAGAGGGAAAACGCAGCCAGCGTTTCTGGCACCGCGGGGAGTAGGACTGTATGATAATTAAGTTACTAGTTTTACTTATCTTCACGCACAATCCCTGACGGGGTAGCCAGAGAGAACAGATCGCCAAGTGTCACGATCCTTAAATATCTCTTTCGCTTCTTTCAGATTCATTATCTTCTTCATACATGCACTAGTTTTAGTTTTTTTATTATAGTTTTTAATATTGTATATATAATTTTTTTATAGGATAAGGGTGACAAACGAGCACACAGTCCACCTGATGGTAAGTGGTTGCTGTGGCCAATAGACATCTACATATCTCTTCGATTAAGAATCTAAATGCAGATGCGTTGTCACCCGTGAGGAATAAGATGGAATGCCTCGTTTCCAGTAAAAAGGGTCTCCGGTTCTCTACACTCACCAAACGAAACACAGCAGTGTTAAGCTGCTATTTTACGCTGGTATTCTGTGCGAGCGTGGTCCTTCCCCGGTCGAGCCGACCCATTCGTGCTACAACCATAATATAGCTGCAGCATGGCTCTACCACGTATACGTGAGTATACAATTAGATTTAAAAAATATATACAACATTATTCAGTAAAGTATTCACTTAATTTCATCGGTATCTTTTTATTCGT